CTTTTTTAACATATGTTACCAAATATTTTTACAATATTTACTACGTTTATTATTCGTATTTCAAAGTAGTAGATACAAGTAATTTAGATAAGTTACATTCTGAAATAATGTATGTAATTCCATATTCATCTTATTATGTATATTTTCAAATAAAAATTTGCAGATTTCAGCTTTCAAATCTATGTTTTCAGGTTTTACTTACTTCTAAGCTTCTAAATAAAAATAAAACAATTAGAAATTTCAAGATTATGCTTTTGAATCGTAATTTTCGAATCTAGAATTCACAGTGAAATTTTAAAGTTTAAACTTCAAGATTAAAATTTCTACACTATATTTCCAAGTTTTTCTAAATTTGAAACTTTGAAAAATAAAAAATTTGCAAGTTAAAATTTAAAAAATCGTAAAACTGGATGTTTTCAATATTGAAAAATTTTTTAGTTTTTTAATTTGGAAAATTAAATTGGAACACTTGGAAATATGTAGATTTATAATATTAGAAACTGATAAATTGAAAAACTGTGAAATTGTGAAATTGTAAAATTGTAAAATTGCAAAACTGTAAAATTGTAAAATTTTAGAATTGAAAAATTGATTAATTGACAAATTAAGAATTTGCAAAATTGAGCAATTGAGAAAGTGACAATTTGAAGAATTGAAAAATTGAAAAATTGAAAAATGAAAAAATGGAAAAATTGAAAAATCGAAAATTTAACAAATTTAGAAACTTAAAAATTTGATAAATTAAAAATTTTTTAAATTTGAAAAATTGAAAAAGTGGAAAAGTGAAAAATTGAAGAATTGACAATTTGAAAAATAGAAAATTGACAAATGGAAAATTTAGAAAATTGAAAATTGAAAAATTATAGAATTGTAAAACTGGAAAATTTTTAAATTGTAAATTTGTGAAACGGTAAAATTGTAAAATTGTGAAATTATTAATTCAGAATGTGAGAAATGAAAAAATTTGAAAACAAAAATTCAATAATCTGAATATTCAAATACTAAAAAACGTGAAACCTTGATTGTTAATGAATTTTATAGTCCAAAAGCACAAAATTTTGTCACTATTTTACAAAATCACATATTTTATACAATTAGTACTTTATGACTCCCCTACAGTTACATAAAATTCATATCAAATCAGCGTTTGAAACACGGTACCTCGTTAATTGTCACATAAAATACTCCAAGTCTAACAATAAACCAAATCTAGACTTTCATGCGGCACTATAAATGAAAGCAACGTAACAAGCTTTCTACTGTTACCCTACATAACCCTATCACGATCAGCAATAGCGATTAAAAGCCACGAGAAGAACGTGTTAATCAATCACAACAATGGCAATAACGTTGACGTTGAACGGCGATAAAGAACGTGAAGCCTTCATTGCCGCTTGGGGCCAAATCCAATAAAAATTCACGAGTGAACCAAAATAGGTCTCAACCTTTCGGTAAAGGTAGTTTTACAAGTCTGATCTAATACGAATTATAATAGCATTTAGGTTGCAGATAATGATCCGGTTATTCGATGTCGCGTGAGCTCACGAGCATATAATTACGACGGCGTTGAGATGCTAATGGCGGTATTGTTTCGGTCACGGAAACAACGGCCAACGTTATTCCATCGTGTTTGGTTAAATTATCTTATGTTAATCTGAAGTCGTGCTTTCAGTTGATTTCAATTTACGATTCGCTCGCACGAACCACTCGATTTTATCGTTCGAGAATTGTTTATCAGCGATCTCCTGCTGAATACATAGTTGTCCTTATTAACAATTATCGATAGAAGCATGCTAAGCATTTGATACACCTGTCTCTACGGAGTAAATATTTTAACTTAGAAATTACTTACAAATTTTTACTTTCTTTTTATATGGTTTTGTTTGTATTAAGGCTGATTATTTCACTGTATTTTAGTTGTTATTTTACTGCATTTATTTACAGCAGAAAAATAAGGCTTCTGAATAATAATCATTTTCTCGTGACCTTTATATCGAAGTTGTTATTAAGTAAGTTAATTAAATTTATGATACCATGTCAGAGAAACCCCATAAAACTGCACTGCAATTTTAATGAAAGAAAAACCACACACCGGCATGAAATGCTATCCGAAAGAAAACCAACGATCACTGCAGTTAGAAACAAAGTAATTAAAACCCAGGGTTGTGCTTAATCACGAATAAGCAATCTGGAGATCGTGACTGAGAAATAGCGACGAGTGTTTCCTTGAAAAAAATAGATATATTACGGTAACGAGCTCGTTCGAATTATTAAGTTTTCAAATTTTGCGCGCAGTAGATTACACCTTTGTAGATTGTAGATATGGTCTCACGGGCTTTACATGTAGACTAAGACTGTAAATTTACAGCCCATATCATTTGCCCATAATTGCGAAATTAGTACTTACGTATTTTATGATTTTTTTTTTGCTGATATTTCGTCAGATTTCAAAATCTGAAATCAGCTGTTTTAGACGACACAATTTAACAGTTTTGGTTTCTCGTTAATAACTTTTCTAATATTAATAATGTTAAGGGTGCATTTATACAGTGATTTTCTGTAGATCTTAAGCTTTAATTTCATGTAACATAAGTGATATTGCGTGATACTTTTCTGTCATAAATTTTTGTCAGAATAATTGCATTTCAAAATCTTTGTTCAGTATATAACAGTTTAACAATTTCACTCTTTACTTTGTAACTTTGTCAATGTTAATTATATTAATGGTGCATTTATACAGTGATTTTCTGTAGATCTTAAGCTTTAATTTCATGTAACACAAGTGATATTCCGTGGTACTTTTCTGTCATAAATTTTTGTCAATAATTGCATTTCAAAATCTTTGTTCAGTATATAACAGTTTAACAATTTCACTCTTTACTTTGTAACTTTGTCAATGTTAATTATATTAATGGTGCATTTATACAGTGATTTTCTGTAGACCTTAAGCTTTAATTTCATGTAACATAAGTGATATTCTACGACACTTTTCTGTCATCAAATTTGATCACAACATTTACATTCCAAAATCAATTGTTTCATATTCAATATATAAGTTTAACAATTTTATTTTCTACTCCGTAACTTTATTAATATTAGTAACATTAATGGTGCATTTTCACAGTGGTTTTTAATGGACGTGAAGCTTTAAAGTAGTACAGCACAAGTAGTATTTCGCGATATTTCTCAGTCATGAAGTTTCATCAGACGTTTCAAATTTCAAAAACAGCTATTTGGGCTTCCAGAATGCAACAGTTTTTATTTTCAATTCATTTGTTAATGTTAATTATATTAACGGTGCATTTATACAGTGATTTTCAGCAAACCTTAACCTTTAATTTCATATAGAATAAGTAGTATTCTGCGATACTTTTCTGTCATGAAATTACAACAAACTTTTCATACTCCAAAATTCACTTAATTCCATACACCTTAACAAACAAACAGATTTTCAAATAACTAAAATGACAAAGTATTTCAACTTTAATATACTAATAATAAAAACAAAGTATATTAATTCTATTTTAGCGAACTATACCAAAACTCATACAACCCCCATCTAAAAGGATTATATGTGCAATAAGAAACGAAGTATCATACCAAGATGCACAGTTCACATGACAGACTTAACAGATTTGACCCTAATATTATAAATCTACAATCTACATGACAGGTTTCACACGTTCAGTCCCAAGACTGTGAATTTACACACCACATGACAGGCTTATCTGTTTCGGTACCAGAACTGTAAATTTACTCACCACGTGACAGGTTTAACTCGTTTGGTCTCAGAACTGTAGCTGCACAGTCTGTGTAATAGTCTTAACACGTTCGATACCGAGACTGTAAATTTACTACCACGTGACGGACTTACCGTTCGGTACTAAAACTGTAAATCTGCAGAGCGGATGATAGGCTCAAGTCATTCGGCAGCGAAACTACCCGATAGATTTACCATGTACAATCGTGAAATTTAAAATTTACAATTCGCCCATAACACGATTTATCCCGGGTATGCAATTATACAGTCTGTAAATTTAACACGTTAAACAATAAAACTGTAGATTTATTCGCGCGAACAACGCGAAATATCTGGGTGAATAGATGTTGTGGAATTTGTTTGAATTTTACCGTCTATTTGATGCGTGTAAATTTACCCCAGTGGGCAACGAACGCGTCAGAGCGGCCGTGCTGCATCTCGAACATGTTTATTTATAAATACTGTACTACATTCGCATTATGTCAAATTATTTCGTTCTAGCGATGGCAACGTAACTCACGGAACGGCCTCGTGAAACGTACTGTGTGACCATTTGCACACGAAATACATAGCGCGGTGCGTGCTGCCAGTAAATATGCAGAAATGCACGGATGAATAATATCAAAGCACGTTCAAGGATCTCGAATCATTAAATAGCGGTTGAATCTCGTGATACGACCGAAATGAGAAATGAGTAATGGGGTCAAGCGTGTTGGCGACCCTCTGGCGTAACTTCGCTATCGCCGGTGTATAATCCTTTCCTAATGACGTGGCAGTTTTTTCCTTTAACACAGCCTGACACATAACAATCACACCCGGCTATTAAAACTTAGCCGTTTGTGTGCATTAAAAATTAACAATTGCAAATTTATACTCAAAACGTATACTTCTTCTCTCTCGAACAAACCGTTACAGCAGCGAGTGAAATTTAATTTCAGGCTATTACTCAAGAAATCAACTCGCGTGGTGACCGTGCACGCACACTAATTACATATCGCGTGCTTCTGCTCGAAATAAATGCGCGACGTTTGAAAAAAAAAAAGTTAATCCTCCCGAGCGACCAATTCCCGAAGCCGAAGTAACTTTGCTCATTTACGGGACTGGCCGAGTCACGAATGTGGCCGACAGTGTCCGCGGAAAATAATTTATGCCCGGCAATAAACCTGGCATTAACGTGAATTGTGTTACGCGATAAGCGAACTACCTTTCTAACGAAGAATTTCTTATTTGTTGTTTCCAGACCACGCTGCTGCAGATGTTCGTGTTGGCCAGTTTGTTCACCCTGGGCACTGCCGTTTGCCCGAACGGCTGTATCTGCGACGACGACAACCTGATGGTGTCCTGCATAGGCGCGAACCTGGACGTCATCCCCATAGCCTTGAACCCGAGTATCCAACGGATAGTGCTGAAGGAGAATCGGATAAAGATCGTGGACGCGGCCGCCTTCCAGTTCTACGGGGATCTGAAGAACGTCGACCTCTCCAGCAATCACCTCTTCACCATTCCGAACGGCAGCTTCGACGCCCAGAAGCAGCTGGTGGAGCTGCATCTCAGGCACAACAAGATCTCCGCGTTGACCGAGAAGACCTTTCAAGGTCTGAGATCGTTGACGGTGCTGAATCTGCGGGATAATTATCTGGAGAGCCTGAAGAACGGTCTATTCGCCTCCCTGTCGAAACTGGAGGAGCTGGATCTGGGAAAGAATCGGATATCGAAGGTGGAACCTGGCGCGTTCCAGAAGTTGGGCACCCTAAGGGTGCTGCATCTGGATGACAATCAGCTGAGAACAATCCCGTCGCCAGCTTTGGCGCCATTGAATTCCTTGGCGGAGCTGCACATCGGTTGGAACGCGTTTTCGTCCTTACCCGATGACGCCTTCAAGGGGTTAGAACAGTTAACAGTGCTGGATATCACTGGAGCAGGGTTGGACGACATCAGCGATTCCGCTTTTCGTGGTCTGAACGCCCTGCGTACGTTGGAGTTAGATGGGAATAAACTTCGAGAGGTGCCAACCAAACAGTTGGCTGTACTGCCTCGCCTGGAAGAGCTGACTTTGGGTCAAAACTTCTTCACGACGCTAAGGTCAGGTGCCTTTCAAGGCTTGTCCAAGTTGAAGAAGCTGGACATATCAGCAGCGAAATTGTTAACAATCGTGGAACGAGGAGCGTTCTCTGACAACGCCAACCTGGAGACTCTGGTGTTGAACAGCAACAAGAGGCTAGCCACTATGGAGGACGGCTCCCTAGCTGGTTTACCGAATCTAAGACATTTGATGCTGCGAGACAACGCGTTCACAGGGTTCTCCGAGTCCCTGGTGGCCTGGAACGAGCTGCGCCGTTTGGACCTAAGCGAGAACCCGATAGTTTGCGACTGTAGCCTGCTCTGGTTATCCGATGTGCTCGTCCCAAGGAATTCTAGTCCAGTAATATGTGCGGAACCTCCAGAGTCCAAAGGCAAGCCCATCAAGGGTATGACCCCAGACGAGCTGGGCTGCGCCTTCTCGGATCCCCGGAAACAGGCTCTGCTGGCGACTTTGTGCGCAGCTGGTCTAGTCTCGCTCATCGGGTTAGCTCTGATCCTCTACTATAGATGTCGCGGCCGGGTCCGAGTTGCCCTGAAGGACTACAAGTGGAAGAACCGCGCGATATCCCGCAAGGAGCACGAGTACCAGAAAACCTTTTCCGACGACGAGTACATCGTCCGGTCTGCTCATACGCACCACCACCATCATCACCATCAGGCCCAACCTCAGCAGCTGCCGCCACACCATCACCACCATCATCTTCAGCAACAGCAGCTGCAGCAGCAGCAACAACAACAGCAGCAACACTCGCAGATAGCGGCAGGCGTCAAGCCCATACCGGTGACGGAACTGTAGCTAGAACTTCGGGCGGCGAGCCCTGGAACCGGCGGTGTGTGGTTCCTGCCCCATGGCAGCACTACCCTCGCCGAAGGCTTCACATACATCGACGGGGAAACGGCGCGACAAATGCGTCGCCCGGGAACGCTGCCCAACACCGGCACGTCCGGTCACCGTACGGCCGGCCCCATAGAGGACGGCTCGACGCCGCT